GCTGCACACCGCGACCCGCTGCACACACACGGCAGGGCACCGACTCCGGCGGCTGCACACCGCGACCCGCTGCACACACACGGCAGGGCACCGACTCCGGCCTCAGCTCTGCAGCCTGGCTGGGAGGGGAGATCCCTCCACCAGCGACCCTGATGCACGACAGGCACAATGGCCACAGGAGCTTGCAGGCGAGGGAGGGAGGGAGGAGCCAAGCTCGGGGGGTGGGGGGGCGGCAGGTGTCCCGCACGGGTGGGGCCAGAGGACCCCAGCCTCCCAGAGCAGCTGCGCGGCTGTGGCACCTCATGGTGTCGGCTGGGGGGTGACACGCCACGAGCAGAGGGCAGGGGCTTGAGAACCACAGAACACACGAAAGGCCCAAGTGAGTGCTACGCTAGACGGCTCACGTCCGTCGGCATGTGGCACGGCACACGCGTCCCCCCAGGCCATACCCCACAGCCTGATTCTAGAACAGCAGCGGCCGCCCCCCCACCGACGCTCTGCGCTCACACCCTGTGTGTGACGCCTCCCCACGGCCATGAGGCGGCCACTGACGAGCGGCACTTCCGGCCACAGCCGTGACAGGAGCCAGCAACTGTGTCCATGTGCAGCAGGGGAGCGGGAAGCGGGCATCTCCTCCGTGGACGGCTGGGGACTGCAGGGCTGTCCCTCGGGAGGAGAACCCAAACCAGACCCTCACCTCCACCTCATGTCACAGGCCAACTTTCATTCGAGACGGACCCAACCGTACGCACAAAAGCTAAACCTGAAAAGCTTCTAGAAGAAAACAAGACACCCCCTTCCGAACTTGGGGGTAGGCAAAGGTTTCTTAGATCCAAAAAAAAAGGGAAAAAGTGGATGTTAGACTTTTTGAAGTCAGAAACGTCCCTACAACAAGCTACACCTGAGAACAAGCTTGGGAAACACTGGCCCGCGTCTGTCCGAGGAGACCGCAGCCGCGAGAGCAGGGCCGGTGCGCGGGGACGATGCGTCCCAGGGTCCGGCAGCTCCGCAAACACACGGGAAACCGCCGAGCCACGCGCTCCAAAGGCTGAGTCCGAGGAAGGTGAGTTGCAGCCACTAAAGCCGGCGTGAGGAGGACAACGGACGCAGTTGACAAAGCACTTGTCTCAGAACACAGAGGATCCTACGATTCCAGACAAAAGACTCCACGATGTTCAAAAACGTACGAAGCACCAGGAAGCCTCACGCAGACAGACGCCATGGCTGACGACCACAGAGACACGTTCTAAACGCCACTGTTCATCGAGGGCATGACACAAGCACGACGAGACACGAGGCCACGCCCGTCACCACGGCTGCAGTCCCAGACCGCCGGGCGCCCGCACGCAGGCCTGGCAGTTTCCCCCAAAGTGAAGCATGGCCCTGTCCTGGGACCTGCCGGCGTCCGCACAGGCCACACACCAACGTGCTCACACGCGCTGGTCCCCAACAGCCCAGGACCCGCAGGCAGACGGATCGACAGGAGGCGTGTCCACGTGCAAGAAGCCCGCCATGTACCAGTTTGCCACGACCCAGCTAAGGACACAATTAACATCCGTGCTTTTTATCACATGTAAGTTTAATCTTAAATGGAAAAGAGCCACAGAGAAACGCGACCCTCTAGCTGCAGACACATGCTGCAACATTCAGGGTCACGCACGCCCACGCCTGCCACGCTCTGGCACGCACCCAGACAGAGGACGTGCGGGCGGGCGGCGCGAGCAGGCACGTGCATGTCCCCAAGGTCTGCAACGTTCCTGTGCGTCTGAAACCTTGCGGCATACGGTGTGGGGGAGCGTGGGGGGGACGCGGCGGGGGGACACTCACCCGTCTTTCCTTCCTGCCCCCACAGGTGAGGATCAGCATATACGATTTTACTGTATCTCTGGCAAACTGTCTCCCGGTATTTCTATAAAAAAACCAAGTTTAACATATGAGCAATGAGCAGTTTCATTCCGCGCCAGAACAGCTCACCGACGCGATGCAGCGCACTGCCGGAAACGGGCAGCGAGGGCGTTCACGAGGCCAAGTCTAAAATTCAACGAGGAGTTCATCTGACCTAACGGAGACCAGCACTGCCCACGAGAACCTGTCTTGACGGGTGACCTGTCCCACGGGCCGCTGACCACTTCAAACGTGAGCCATGGGCCCCAGCGGAACTGACGTTTCCATCGCCCCACGGGGCTAGAGCCAGCCGCTCTGGGCGCTGCAGGCCGGACAGGTACCCCGGGAAGGGGAACTGTGTTAGCATGGGGGCGAATGACACATTTTATGTTTTTAAAAACCAAGAAAAGACGGTCTTCCTGTTTCTATTTAACAGCAAATCCAAACGGAGACTCAGTCATGGGGCCCTTAGACGGGACCGGCTGGCATGGGGGCCAGGAGGCCCAGCGCCCCAGCGCACCCTGGCGACCGCGGCCACACCCTCCGCTCCCTCACTGGGCCTCAGTTCCCCACTCTGGACACTCCAGGCCCCAGGCCGGGTGCTGCCGGAGGCGTAAGCTCGTAGGATGAAAGGTCCCAAAGTGGCGTCACGGCAAGTAAAGAAGAGAGATGCCGTGTGATCTGCGGGGAACCCGTGCCAGGGTGGGGGGGATAGTCCAGGCCCTGGCTCTGGTCCCAGGGGGCTCCCAACACCGACCGATGACGCCATGTCCTGAGCTGCGTCCGGCAGGGTGCTGACGTCTCACACCTGCTCTCATTTGCAAACACCCATGACTTTTAGGGAGGGCAAGTGACTCTCCCAAGGCCCGATGCTGGCCGCAGTGGGGCCGGGACGAGCGCCCGGGCTGCAGAAGCATGGGGGGCAGCCCCGGACCTCACCTCCATTTCCTCCACCCGCAGCATCAGGCTCTCCAGATCCGGGCTGCCTCTGCCGTCCCCCATGGGCGCTGAGGTTTCCGACTCCGAGGCCCCACAGTGGGTCGTGGCCCAGGGCCCGTGGGCAGTGTTTTCCAAACAGTCCCCCAGCTGGTGAAGGCCGTGGGGTGCGCGGTCCAAAGCTGTAGCCTGTGAAGCGAGGGTGGGGGGGTGGAGAGGCAATGAAAGACCTGAAAGTGGTCGGCGGCCATCCCCTCCGTCGCACCCCTGCCATGCCAGCGAGCCCACAGCCACATCAGCACAGAGGCCACCAGCCAGCGAAGCACGCGTCCTCCTGGTGCCGCACCCAGAGGAAAAGCCCGCTAGCCCACGGGTCGGGCCCAGATGACAGGTCTGTTCTCGCGCGGTTCCAAGGCTTTCGGAAGAACGTCTATTCATGACGTCAGGGGCTCCTCATGCTCTGCCCTCACTCCAGGCTCTCTACCCTTCATCCGGGAGTGCTTCGCCAGCTTCTCCTGACCCCATGCCCGTTACGCCCCACAGCTCTCTACGGTCTGCAAAGCGTCTGCATGCTCTGGCTTTTCAGACTCGAGGATGCGTCTGTGACCTGCTCTGAGGGGTTCTACGAGGAATGTGTGCTGGGAAGCGACGCATCAGGCTCCGGAAGGAGACATTCATGGGGTGCACGGTTCCAGCACTGCCCACTGTGCCCACAAGCCCGAGCCTCGCTCTCACCCTCAGCAGAGAGACGGGGGCTGTCCTGCCTCGGAGCTGGAAGGGCTTGTGAGCACGGGCGTGGGGACGTGACCGAGCAGTGCCCCCCGCAGCAACTCAAAAAACCCTCTAGCAGATCAGAAAAAATATGTGTTAGCAGCCAATAGAGAGAGGAACAAACACCCAACCTTAAGTTAAATAAAAATCAGCCAAATAATCAGACAACGAAGTCACAGAAACATCTAGAGCAGAGGAACCCAGGAACACGGGTCCGTTAATGCAGACGCGTGTCTGCACGTGTCCCATTTCTCATCTACGGACGACAGGATGTCGGGAAGCCTGTGTGCCCTCAGAAAAGATGAGGACGCTCCGACACGCTGATCAGAGGTCACCAGAGATCATCGACACAGAAGGACAGAAGCCGGGTACCGAACACCCCGGCGCTCCTGTGCAGGACGGTCTCACTTCCACACCACACTTGCGCCGAATGACTGCATTTTTAGCCACGTGCACATACAGCTTTCAACTCGGAAAACTCTCGAGCATTTCGGAAAGGGACCCCTGAGGTGCTCATGTCGTGTTGTAAGCAAACGTGACGAGAGTGGGACACGAACGTCTCCTTTCCTCTCGAGACGGGACTTGGAGAGTTTGCATGGAAGGGAAGGCCCCCGGTCCTACAGGGTCACAGCACACGCCTGTCCCCACGTCGCCGGGCTGACCTCAGTGATTCTTCACACGCACACCCTCCCGGGGCTGGGGGGCTGGGGGCCTGGGGACCTCCACAGAGACGCCCACGTCGAGCCTGGGACACTAGCTGCTGACAGGGCTGCAGTCCTTGTCACCAACTCTCCTCGAGACCACCTAGTGCCACGATCGACACAGTCTAATTCTCACATGCGAGGCTGGTAACCCTCTAACCCACAGCTGACGGCTCTGCTGACGGCCCTGCCAGTCCCTTGGGGACGCCACCCCGGCTGAGACGCTTGGTCAGGAGGAAAGACCGCTTGGGGACCAGGCTGCAGAGGGCACACGGGGGCTGCACCGGGTGCGCGGGTCACGCTCTCAGCTTCCGGCCTCAGAAGGGGTGGAACCTGCGACTCGTCACAAGAGGCTGGGACAGTGAGGTGGGAGCCACACCCACTAGGCTCTCAGGAGGCAGCCAGGCACCACCCGAGCAGCAGCGTGGGACATGCCCTCGCAATCCACACTCCTCCTGACCCCATGTCACCGCCGCTAGGCTTGGTCCCACTTCCCCTAAGCCTGGGCCTACACACTGGCTCAGCCCCATATCCGGGCGCAGAGAGCCACGGCTGCTTTCCAGCCTGGCGGAGGCCCACCCCCACCCCCACAGCCCAAGCCCCCGCCGGACAACTATGCTCCCGCATGGGCCAGACACAGGTCCTCTGGGGGGACATGCAAGGGGGACATGCAAGGGCACCCGGCCACAGCACATGCTCTCGTGCTCCCCAAATCATACTGACCCCTCCCTGCCTGGTCCCGGGCGCCGTCCGGCACTCAGTGAGCGAGCCTGCCGAGCAGTGAGCATGGGACCCTCAGCACAGAGGACGTCAGGCCCGTTGCGAGCAAAGCCAGGCTGCGTGGCAGGACGAGACGATGGCTGCTTTGGGGCAGCAGGCCGCCGGCACTCAGGGCCACATGCCACAGCCACATCCTGTCCTCAGGAGAGGACAGCGCCATGGACAGCACCCTGTGGCTCCTGAGATCTCGCTGTTAGCGTCAGCACGCCAAGAGGAACCGTCGCCTCCCTCTCCCGGGGCAGGATCCCCAGCACTCGCGGGAACCTGTGTACTTCCCCTGCGGCCCGGGACGTCCTCACGACACAACGGCAGTGTCGGCAGGACGCCACCGCGCACTCACCTCCTCCACGGGCTGGCCGGTTGCCACATCTGCTGACGGCCGGTCCCTCGGCTGACGATCTGCTTCCTGAGAAGAGCTGACCCTCTGTACAAACAGACAAGCATGACCCGTGAGCCGTCGCGATCCCCGGCCCGTGAGCTGTCGCGATCTCTGGCGTTGGCTGTGGCTCCGTCAGGCTCCGCGGCAGGTCCCGGCTCGTGTCTTCGGGAACAGAAAGGCCGCGTGCTGCTCTTGGCTTTCTGCCCCTTTTCCTCCTCCGACTTTGGACACGGCCAGAGTGGCCGCGTGCCTCTCGGCAGCTCTGTGCCGGTTCACTCAGCAAGGAGACAAGGAGGCGGCCGGCGTGGCCGGGGACAGCCGTCCCTCCACTCTGCCCTGAGATGTCCCGGGACTCTCGCGACGACTCTGCGCTTCTTACACTAGAGGTACGGACTGCAACGGCTGTTCAGGGCCCCAGAACACCGTTCATTCCACGTGAGATTACGACACTCCCCGTGGCCCCCACATCCAGGCAGACAAGACTATTTCCATGACCCGTGCCCTGCCGGCCGCGCTTCCGGCTCACCGCCCACGGGAGGATGCCAGTTGCCGGTGACACTGCATGACACCTCCTCCTCGAGGGGGAGGGGCAGTCTGCGCACAGGCCTGGGCCCGTGGGAAATTGCGCCGACCGTCCCACCCACGGAGGTGAGCACGCCCAGGAGTCGCGCAGACGCAGAGGCACCGACACCACTGCAGATCTCATCAACAGTGGAGCCTGGAGCCTCAGCTCATTCCCTAAACTGAAAGCTCCCCTTTCTCAGACGTGGCACTCTCTCTTCCTGTCTCGGCCCCTCACGTGCACTGCAGACCCACCCGTGGACGCCGCAGGGCCGGGCAGCGCCGCAGGCGGACCACGTAGCATAATGTGGCCCAGCAGCCGCGAGGCCTCACGGAGGGCTGCCTTTCAGTCTGGCGCTTCCGAGGGCAAGCGACGGTGTTACCTGGGCCGTGACCAGAAGAGGCTTCAAACGCTCCAGGACCGCCTTCTCCACCTTGTCTGCTAGCTGGGTGTCCGACACGCTATGTGGAAATAAAATCCAAAATTAAGATCCGAGGCAAGAAAACATCCTAGTCTGTATATTTAGGTACCACTCCGGGCAGAGGAAAATGAAACGAGTGTAAAACCACGGAGCTGCTCTAATCTTGACAGCCATGCGATGTCCCAGTGGTCTCATTAAAGAGCAGACCCACAGTCGGCCGGGATGCAGCCTTTCCAGCAAGCGCCCCGCAGCCGTGCACCACCGGTCTGGGACCCGCTGAGGCCACTTCTGACGTCTCAACGGGTACGCGAGGTTCTCGGTACATTTCCAAAGAGAAATGGCCGCCTTTCAACAACTCAAGAGCACAGAAGACCGAACAAGTCAAACTGATTTTGTTCCTTTTCCAAACCCTGCTATCCCGGAGTCAGACACAAACCCACAGAGGGGAAGCAAAATGCTTCTGGAAAACAGGACAGCGTGGTAACCAACCACGTCCAGCAGCCGAGCTCAACTCCGGATGAGTCATGGGGAAAGCGGAGGGGCCGCGCGCGGCCCTGCTGACTTCATGGCACAGGGCTGGTGGGAGCAGACAGGTGGGGGCCTGGGGGCGGCCTAAACATGGGAGACAGGAGTCTGGGGGCCCCTCTCCGACTGGCAGGGAAGTCTGGCCGCCCCTTCGGGAGCGTCTCTGGACCCACAGGCACGCTGGACGCTCCTGGGACACGCCACCAGAGGCTGAGTGTCCAGACGCTCTGACCAGCCCCAAGGAAAGGACTAACGACAGTTGAGCCTCCCTCACCAGCAGGGTGGCCGCTCACCCCGGAGTAAAGCTCAGCCCAGCAGCCCTCCCAGCAGACAGCGCTAGAACGGCACGTCTCCGCGGGGACAGAGACGCACAGAGCCGCATCTGGTGTCACGCATGGACGCCGGCTCACAGCAGGCCGCAAAAGCAGAACACAGAACAGAGACAGAGCACTTGGGGGAGAGCACAGACGATCTGCGCGACCGTCCGACAGAACGCCGGCAAACTCCTCTCTGTCAGGACCCGAAACTGCTTCTTCGTCAAGACCCCATCGGGAAGCTTGCTCACAGGCAAGCCCCCGCTGCTGCACGCCCATTTGCACCAGCTCATGCCCGGACATGGAGAGCCTCACAGCCGGCACAACACAGAGCCTCAGCCGACGCGAGGAGGCACACAGCAAAACCACGGGCGCCACCACACACTCACCCCAGGGGCCAGAATTAGCAGACAGCGGCAGATGTCAGCGAGGTCGGGGGACGGAATGGAGCCCCACACTGAACACGGAACCCCACCCTGACAACACCTCCCTGACGCGTATGCGGGACTTGCCCGTGACCTGGCCCGTAACCTGGCCCATGACCCAGCCCACCAACGGCCTGGGCCGGACGTGTGGGTCTGCCCAGAGCCAGACACTGCGCTACCCGGGCCACGCTCCTCGCAGCGGCAGCACCTCAGCCCTGCACAGCAAACCGTCAGGGATACGGCCGTCGGGGGCAGACTCATGGGTAAGGGTGATGGGAAGACGAACGGAGGAGTCGGGACGGTGGTTCGCTCCGGTGGGGGAGGAGTGACTAAGGAGGAACCAGGAGGGACTGAGGATGGACGGTCAGCGGGGGCCCACGCCCATGAGAGCTGCTGTCGCAGGGACCTCCCGTCCCTACTACTCTGAGCCGCGTGCGTGCGTTTCTCACAGACGACCGCCCAAAGGGATGATGGGGCCCAGTGGGCTGCCGTCCTGCTCCCTGGCCGAAGGACAGCGGGTAGGGGTCCCAGGGCTGCTCCTGAAGGCTAGGTGGCAGAGGAAGGGACTGCCTCAGCGGGGCTGTCCCGTCACAGATGCCGTGTGTGACCGCATGGGCAGGTCGGCCGAGTGAGGCCCTTCCAACCCCACAGCTCTGTGGTTGTGCACCTGTTCCGTTCTGTCCGTCCGAGAGAGACCGCATGAGCAAGTGGGCGGGAAGGACAGAGGGAGGGAGAGAACCTCAGGCAGACTCCGCCCCGAGCAAGGAGCCCGACGCAGCCTCGATCCCGGACCCTGGGACTCGGACAGAGCTGAAACCAAGTCGGCCGCGCCCCACAACTGCGCCTCTGCCACGGTGTAGCTTGAACCCTCGACCACAGACAAAAGAGAAGGGCCAGAGCCTGCCAGCCAGGGCACGAGCATGTCGTGAGGGCTGACAGCACACACAGTGTGAGGGCAGCCGCAGGGCGAGCTGTGATCAGAGGCAGGAAGCAGCCTGGCCGGCCCCAGAGCGCCAGCGACCCCCCCCGACTGCCAGCATCCGGCTGGGCGCTAACTCCCTCCACTCGAGTCGACCCTGAAGCAGAGCGCCCGCACACCACCTGGGGACCAGACGCACGTCCACTCCGCCCGCCAAGAGCAGAGCGCCCGGGGGCGGGGGACAAGCAGAGGCGAGGCCGACCTCTCAGCTTTCCCAGCCCCCCGACGACGTTCGGCATCTCTGCCCAGGAGGGACACTTGGTAGCAAAGACCACGCATGCGGTCACACGGGTACATGTCCACGTGGCGCGGCCGGGCCACGGCGGTCCTGGGGGCACAAGTGTGCAGACCGAAGCAGCAGGCAAGCCCTCACGACTCCCGCTCAGGCGCAAACCCCCACCTCCATGCCAGCTTCCTGCCCATTCCAGCAGCCTTGAGCCCCACCGGTCCCTCTGTCCTGCCAGGGTCCACAGCGAGCAGAGCGGACCTCGGGGACAGCACAGAGGCCCAGCAGCCGTCCCGTCCCCACCCACGCCCCGCTGGGGGCTGCCCAGGTATACACAGCCCCTGCCCGTGGGGAGCGGCCGCAGCGCTCCGCCTGGGACACGGGCACTCACCCCCGCCTCCGTGTCTCATCCGAGGCCCCGGCTTTCAGTTCCTCCAGCTCCTTCACTGTTTTGGAAGTTTCGGCATCAAGCCAAGCGAGCCTGCTGGGCAGCAAGTGGTGTCAGACCACCCTGCCTCAGCCCGCACGCCGCCAGGGCCGGGGCCGGGGCTCCACGGGGGACCCCGCCTCGGCCGTGGGAGCGCCTCACGGGCGGCTCTGGACACACTCCCAGCGAGCGTGGACAGCCACCCAAACCGCCCACGCACACTCAGGAACGAGGGCTGTCGCGCGGGGGCTCTGTGTCCTCCGGTTTCGGACACAGGACTAGCATCCAATGACACAATAGTCCACAAGGCAAGAGCGGTCTTGGCCGGTGAACGCAGAGCCCCGCCGTCACCACTCCTTCCAGAACGTTCTCATCTCACGCCGACTAGAGCCGGTCTCTCTGCACCAGAAGCAGCCCATCCCCGCCCACCCGCCATTCCTCACCCTCCACCTCCGCCGCAGGTCGGTCGGAACCGGCCCCTCCTGCAACTGTAAATAACGGGGGCTGGGATTCGCTCTTCCAACCGTTTCTGGAGTCTCCGTAGAGCTCACCGCTGCACCGCACACAGACGAGCGGCCAGTGACAAAGCACCCACCGCGGCGAGGAACAGAGGGAAAGGGGTCGCTGTGCCCATGGGGCCGTCGGGCGGCAGAGCACGGTGGCCGGCACAGGACGGAACCGGCACAGCGCGCACCGGAGAGGGGGTCCGCTCCAGACCCTGGGTGCCGGGGCCCCTCCTTTCCCAGAGGTGGAAAACCAGCTGCACATACCTCACGGCTTCCTGCGCGACGGCGTCCCTCCGCGGACTCTCCTCCAGAGCCTCGTCCTGCCGCGGCCACGCTTCCTTTGCGGCACTCTTGGGGCTCAGCTTCACCTTCAGCCAGGCAGCGCTGCGAACGCGGGAGAGCACCACTGGGGGAGCATGGCCCGCGCGGCCGCCAGCTCCCGCCCGCACCCGGCACGCCCCCCCGCCCACCTCGGGGCCGCAGCGGCGTCTACCCACGGAGGTCCGCACAAGCCCCCAGCGGTACCCACGTCTTTATTCCAGCCCGTGCGGGAAAGCACACGCTTCAGAGCGGAGGAGTCATGAAACGAGGCCTGACGGCGGACCCAGCCCTGCTGCGTAAGCAAGACCTCCAACGTCCGAGTCGCCACCGCGTCAGCTCCGAGCGCTGACCAGCAGGCACAACCACACACTCGGCCCGGCCCGCCGGGCTGCTCCCCGGCACCTGCCAGCCCCCCTTGGCCCCCGCCGGCCCTGCTCCATGGGCCGGGCCACGTCCCCGCGTGTGCTAACGCGGACACAGACGGTAAAGTCCGCTTCCTCCTCACTGCGCCCGGTGGCGGCAAGAGCCCCACGGTTTTAGGATTCACAGTCTCGTCTTGAGATTAGGTTTCTCTTTAAATACTCATCCCCCAGCAAGGACCGACTGCAGGGCCCCCAAGACCGTCAGGGCTGAGGCCCCGCGCCAGCACGGAACACTCCGCACAAGGAAGGCACAGCTCCTGGCACTGGGCCACGAGGTCCCCTGTGCGACACAGGTCGGCGCACACCTGCGACCCCCACACAGAACCACACGCCCACAGCGGGTCGGTGGCCACAGGAGACTCCCGTCCCCGTCGGAAGGACAAAGGCACCAAGAGGCTTCTGGACAAACATTCTCCTGTATTTCTCAGCCGCAGACACCTCTGTGCTTAGTGGAACTCGGGCCGCTGCTGTCCGTCAACCCTAAGCGACAGGCACCCGCCCTGCAGAGCACACACCCCACCACGTACCACTTGGGAGATGCTGGCGGGGACGTGGGGTTCGGCGGCACCCAAGGGGCTCTGCTGTCCCTCACAGGCTGCTGGCTGACTTTCAGTCTGGAGGACACTGTCGTGCGCTGCAGTCGGCTTCTGCTCTGGGACCGGGTCGGCCCTCCTCTTCCAGCTTTGTGCAGTCCCTGCAGGAGACAGGCACGTGCTCGAGAGCCACACGGGTATCAGGGAAGCTCGCCTAAGGCTTCGGGAGTCCCCACACTGCACCAGAAGCCGGCGTGGAGAGCACGCAAAACCTGGGGGCGGGCGTGCCTCACGCCGAGCGTCCCTCACACCGAGCGCTCCTATACTGAACATACACGCTGTACTCCGCACCCCCCGCAGGTGATGGGGGTCAGGGGAGGGGTGAAGCTGGACACCCTGCATTTACCACCCTTTTACGTGTACATAAATATACACATAAAATACACTTATCCTTATGTTTCTTCTTAAAGAAAAAAGAGAAGCTGCATGACGATCTTGGTTGAGACGCGTCATGCCTCATCTGTGCGCCGGGACAGACCTCTTCCCGTGCTTCCAGAAGGCTGAATGGGCTCATGGCCCAGGACCAGTCCCACCTGCCCGATGACGCCCCATGAGGCAGAGCCAAGTCAGGACCCCAGTCCCAGTGACCAGCGCTCCACGCCATGCCGGGGGCCACCTGACAACATGCAGGCCCACCAGCGCCAAGCACACTGAGGGTGTTTGGACCAGGAGGCCGTCTTCCAGCAGGTTCTCCGCTGCAGTCACACCACAAACAGAAGCTTAGAGTCTAACGCAGCTTCAAGCCAGCTGCCTCCCAAACCCACAGCAGCGGCCCTGTGAGGCCTTTTCATACCGAGGGATGAGTTACCGATGTTTATCCTCAGCAGGAAGCAGACCTCAAACCCCTCCAATCCCGCACTTCCGAAGCAGAAGCAGCGGAGTGCGAGGACAGCCTGCCCGATGAAGGCTGCGCTGTCAACCCCACGCGCATCTCTCCAACCAGGACAACACAGATGCCCGGTCCTGGGAGCAGTATTAAAAACTCTTATTTTTCCTTAGAAAGTCAAACACTAGGAGTGCCTGGGAGACTCAGTCGTTAAAACGTCTGCCTTCGGCTCAGGTCATGATCCCGGGGTCCTGGGATCGAGCCCCGCGTTGGGCTCCCGGCTCAGCGGGGAGCCTGCTTCCTCCTCTCTCTCTCCCCCTGCTTGTGTTCCCTCTCTCACTGCGTCTCTGTCAAATAAATAAATAAAATCTCTAAGGAAAAAAAAAACAAACCCAAACACTACCCGGAGCCGAGCTAAGTCAGCAGTGTCGGACAGTGGGCCCAGCTGGTGGACCGTGGGCTCAGCCGACAACCAGGGACACGGGCCGCAGAAGGGGCCGCTCTGTACCTGAGGTGGCCTCGCCGGCGCCCGGGCCTCCCCCTTCTGGAGCGCCGCACTCCTGGTCGTGGGCCTCCCCGCCGCCGCTCCAGCTCTCGCCAGGGCCAGTGGATCCCCCGAGAAGCTGGCGCTGTGGTCTGGAGCGGACGGGGCTTCTTCCGGAAGGATCTCTGCACCCATCACATCCAGCCCGCAGGTCGCAGCAGGTGCTGCCCCAGTGGGACAGTGATCTGTAGGACATTTCAGAAGGACAGACAAGCTGCAGACACCTGGCCGAGCGTGCCAGCAGAGACGTGTTTTACTGCCAAAGTCCCTCCCCGCCCTGTGACTCCCACAGGGACCCACAGGCAGAGACCCGCATGCCACGGCTGACACCCAGGCTCCCCTCCCACGCGTGCCCCTTCGCCGTCCCTCGGACCCCAGCCCTGACCACCCCTACCAGCTGGGTCAGACGTGCGCTATCCCATGACTGTGCGAACAGCGCCTCCTGACCCGCCCCCTCTTCGTCTGCGGTCACCCCGCCTGGTACCAAATGTGTTTTTTCTACGATGTAAATATTCAAACTGTGGTTTCTTAAAACCTCCATCCATCCACGCCATTCAATTTGCAGCGGGAAAAGAAATAAAACGGTCTTTGATTGGAGAGGAGATGTTTTCCATATAGAAAATCCAAGGGGATCTATACAGAATTAAATGAGGAAGAGGGTTTCTGGATAAGAAAAAAATACACGAAAATCCGTATCTTTCCCACGTATCAAGATGACCAGAGAGGATATAAGGGAAACATCCCGTCGGTGTCAGCAGCAAGGACTCTCAGGCACTCAGGAAGAAAACTAACAAAGATGCGTTCACAGTTATTCTAGAGACAGGAGAGAAGATCCGAGTAAGTCGTTTCTGTGGAGGTGCGAGCCCTCCCCTCGGTAGCCCGTCATTTCGAGCGCAAATTCAGCTGGCGTCCCAGCAGGCCTCTCAGTGGGTCCCAAAAGGCTCGCCCGAAGTGCTTCACACAACCCCAGGCCCGCCTGACAGTGCCTGAGAAGCACAGCCTTCTTCCCCGGGAGGGGACGGACCCCCAAGGCTTCCCCCGCCCCCTGACCCCAAGGCTGCGCCCAGCACAGGGGCCAGCGGCCAGCCCATGGGGACAAAATGAAACATGTGCAGGGCTGCACCCTCTGACTTAGGGTCCAAGATTGGGTCTGTCCCTTCCATTCAGGGACAGGGGAACGGCTCCACAGAAACCCATTTCCCTGGCAACGCAGGCCTGCTCACTCCTCCACGACCTGATCACTGTACTATTTTAGAAATGGACAAAACTCATTTTTAGGGGCACCTGGGTGTCTCAGTGGGTTAAGCCTCTGCCTTTGGCTCAGGTCATGGTCTCAGGGTCCTGGGATCGAGCCCAGCATCGGGCTCCCTGCTCAGCGGGGAGCCTGCTTCCCCCTCTCCCTCTGCCTGCCTCTCTGCCAACTTGTGATCTCTCTGTCACATAAATAAATAAAATCTTTTTAAAAAAATAATTCATTTTTAATGGCTACCAAAGACCTATTTCCTCAGCTACCATCTGCCTATCACAACTTGCCCCTCCCGCGGTAGCTTGAGATTGTGGCGAGGAACTAAAAACACCTGCCACGTTTAGGGCGCTTTGGGATTATCTGATGTGCCACTTACACCCGGGTCTGTCCCGCAGGATAAGGACTAGTGTCCTCGCTTCACAGACGGAAAAATGAAGGCTGAGAGACGACGTCCTCCGCCCGGGGTCACGACGTGCGTCCGCACTCCCGCTCTGCACGTTGGTTCCACAGGAGCTGCAAGCCGCAGCTCTCCGCCCGCTGCCCCCGAAGCAGGCGCTCACTTCCCCACCTCGGCTGCGGGCACCTGTGCTCTTCTAACCCAGCTAGGAGACGCGTCTGCACAGGCCCGGGAAGCTGTCCTTGTCGCCCCCAAGCACCCGGACCGCAGCATACCGCGCAGCTGGCCAGGAGCCTTCCCCACCTCGGACACACTGCCTCCCGGAGCCTGTCTCGTGGGCGTGGGAGGGAGAGGTGCAGCGACCTGGGGCTGCGTTCTACCGCGTAGCCATGAGGGGGAGGGAGAACCACACTGCGTGACGTGCACGTCTAACCGCTCTCCGGCGAGTTCGGAGACATCCACGCCAGGGCAGTGCACAGCATCGGCGGCAGACTGGGACACAGGTCAGGTGCATGGCGACACGCAAGCTCCAACCCAGCAGAGGAAAGAGTGACCCGAGAAGCTGCTGATGAGCACAGGAGAGTCCAGCACAGGAAGAGAAAACATTGGCAGAGGAGACTCAGGAGCCAAGGCTGAACGTTCAAGGGCGTCCTGCACCTCGGACACCGGAATGAGTTAACCACGCAACAGCCAGCTACTCACAGGAGACGCTCCGAGCCTCGCAGCGGAGGCCAGAGCTCTGGGACAGGGGCGTGAGACTCGGTGAGCGCCACGTGACCTCACACGAGCACCACCCAAAGGGCTGGCCCGAGGTTCCAACAGGAACGATGTCACAGCCCCGAAGGCCGAGCGTCTCACGGCTCAGGTTCCAAGCAGACGAAGTGGAAGCCCAAGGAGAGCGCGAGTCTCACGCTACACAAGACACTCGAACCGTCGACAGATCATGTGCGAAGCCACAAGAGCACGGGAGAAAAGGCAAGAAAGGAGCAAAGGCTGGAGTGAGCCGGGGTCGTTCACGATTCCACACACAGCAGAGCACAACCTGCTGACAAAGTGGTAAGAAAACAGGAGCATCTGCAGGTCAGCCAGATGTCTGCACGTCCGCACGCATGTCAGGAGTCAGAGGGCTTCCAGGATGCCACGCACGGGCATGCCACAGCGTAAATGCAGTGAAAGCTGCGCGAGAGGATCTGAGGACAACGGAGTCCGAGCCCCTGTCTGTGAATCGGGACCTCAGGAGGCATTAACTCGTCAGAATCCCAGGACACTATTGGCTGTCAGCTGTCGGCTATTGGCTGTCCACTGTCCACTGTCCGCTGTCCGCTGTCCACTATCTGCTGTTGGCTACCCGCTGTCCACTGTCGGCTGTCTGCTGTCCGCTGTCCGCTGTCCACTGTCCGCTGTCCACTGTCCACTATCTGCTGTTGGCTACCCGCTGTCCGCTGTCTGTCGGCTGTCTGCTGTCCACTGTCGGCTGTCGGCTGTCTGTCGGCTGTTTGCAGTCCACCGTGGGCTGTCGTGTGTGTGGCGGGGGTGGCTGTTGGTGGAACTCATATTCTGATCCTGAAACTTCCGTGCAGATGCTGAGGGTCAAGGTCAGCAAAGGCATTCCGGAAGAGCAGGCGGCCGAGCGTCAAGAGTCAGAATGGAGGCGCTGCGCATGAGCGAAGGGACCAGCAGCGAGGTCCACGGCGGAGAACACAGGGCCCAGAAACGGACCCACACACATGTGGACACTGAATTTACGACACGAGTGGTATTCTTTGCCGCTCTGAGGAAGGAATGACCTTTTCAAATGAAACTTCTCAAGAAAATAACGCAGGAAAAGGTCTTAATTCTGGGGTAAGAAAAAGCTTCGATGGGACATAAAAACAAAGGCCAAAAGACGTACAGGAAAACAGTGCACCATCGGACCCCGGCGAATGACCAATTCTGTCTGTCCCCGCACCGCTGCCGTGGCAGAAGCTGCAGTATCGTCCCAGTGTGTGTTTACAGCACAGAAAACTGAGGCAGGGCCCACACGCAGAGCAGTCCTACAAAGAACTTCTATAAATCCAATTCTGGGAACCAAAAAAAAAAAAAAAGGAAAGGAAGGAAGAGAAGGAGAACGTGAAAGAGGGAGGGAGGGCGGCAAGGAACCTGAACCGGCACCGCCCAGCAGGAGGCGTGCAAACAGGGCATAAACACAAGAAAACACTCACACTGTCACGCACACAGAAAATGTAAATCCGAGCCGGAACGAGGGGCGCCTGGGCAGCTCAGTGGGTTAAGCGTCGCACTCCTGATTTCAGCTCAGGTCTGACCTCAGGGTCCTGGGGTCAAACCCTGTGTCGGGCTCCGTACTCAGCAGGGTCCGCCCCCTGCCGCCTCCCGCTCTCTCAAGTCAATCAATCTTTGAACACAAAACCAGAATGACAGTCTACACACCAAGCAGGGGCTACACTTACAAAAACTGACAAGTGTGGGCAAGGATGGGTGGCAGCGGCTCCCACACGCTGCTGGTCAGCGTAAAACCGGTAAAACCACTTTGAAAAGAATCTTTGCTATTACGGTGGAACCAGCCGCGGCGCCCCGACCGTGATGCCTGGGAACACACCCAACACAAACACACATGCACACACACCGAAACACACAGGAGAAGAGCCTTCTCGGATCATCCAGACCTGGGAAGCCCCGACGGTGAGGACCACGGAGCCGTGCTACGCTCCTACGGTGGGACGCAGCCGCAAGCACCAGCAGATCACAGCCACACAAATGCGACCCCCACAAAATGCGAGCGGAGAGAGGCCCGTCCCGCGAAAATACCGATCATGCACCTCCATTCCTAAAAAGCTCACGAAGTTCCAGATCCGACAGAAACCAAAGTCCAGCAAAAAATCGGAAGAACAGTGCATTTTGGGGAGGAGACGAGGCGTGGAGACTGGAGGGAACTTCTCAGTGCTTGGAATGTTCGATTCCTTGACGTAGGTAGCGGCTCCACAGATGTTTGTTTTCTGACAGCACACGCAGTTGCACACCCACATTTTGTGCACTCGTCCAACTCTACGTTCTACTTCAATTGAAACAGGAAAATAAGTTCACTGGGTTCATCCACACCGACACCAATGGCCCATTAAAAAATTCAGTATTAAAATCTTGGAACTACTTTAAAACACTATCAACGTATACTTCTATCGGTTTAACTCAAAAAAAGGAAAAAGTAGAGGAAAAGAAAATCTCTTCACAAAGCTGGAAGAAGAAACAGAAGATTATTTCCCCCACTTTGCACGCGGACGTGTGCGACCCTGACAGCAAGCATGGCATGGAAACAGACCCCACGAAACCCGAGGCGGCAGTGTCCCCACTGCAGCTGCCACCCAGTGTTATTCTGAACTAAATTCTGTCCAGTAAAGGAGAAAGAGAAGAACGAAACGGTATAAAAATCGCAAAGAGAGAAGCAGAACTTTACTTATTTGTCTGTGATCTTGTGTATCCAGAAAAACACGGAAGAATTAACTAACAATCTCAGTAATTCATCAAGTCTAAAACATCGAGTATAAGACATGCCCTTATTTTATGCACCAACAGCATATTTTAAAACATGACCAATTCCTTGTAAGGTATCATCAACCTAAGACTGCATCCTGATTTCAGGAAAGTCCCACTGCATCCCTCAGAACCAACGAGACTCAGTGTGGTCGCCGCCCGGCTGTCTGGGAAGCATCCCAGGGCTCTGCCGCAAGGAGCTAGAACCCATTTCAACATGCAGTGAAAAGACAATCCCGTTCACAGCAGGAATAAAAACCATAAAATGAGAAAACTGGAAACGAACCTAACAAGGAATCCAGGAATTCCTACTACGTCAGGAATTCTCTTTGGCCAACGACTGTGCCCTTCACCTGCGGGAGTGGACAAAGGGCAGGATGATGTCGTCCCCCCAGGCCAGCCCGTGAGCTCAGGGGGCCGTCACCAGCCCCACAGCCTCTGCCCCGGAACCTGACAAGCACCTTCTGTTCTGAAGACACATCGTCGCCGTCAGCCGACTGTGAAGAACAAGGAGGAAGAGCCTCCCGACAGAGGAAAACACGTGAGAACGCGGGCTCCATGCACCAGGTGCAGGTCTCCCCGTACCAGGAGAGGGGTCGCAAACCAAGCGAAAAGCAAGTGACTGAGAGAGAGACCCGCCACCACCCATGTAAACCCACAGAGGAGGCCCAGAGCTCAGGAAGAAAGTCTCCACGCCCGCGAGCACGACGCCAGCCCCCGGAGGGTGGAGGGCGCCCAGAGGAGGGAGCACACGTCTGGGAGCACCACCGATGACCTTTCTCCCCGGAGACAGGATAGGACAGGACCAACAGGAAGGGACTATTTCCATCCAGACACTGGAAAAGTCTCACAGTTTCACGACATAAGGTACTTGGTAAGGATGTGGGAAACCTACTCTGTTGCTCACTATTCCCCAAAACATCCCTGTAGGCCCAGGTTCAAGGCCAGCACTCCGGCTCTGGGGACGAGTCATTATCTGCACTAAACACACACACATCCGTCGCGCGGGTGTCTGTGTGTGCATGTGCCTATTGTTAAAATCTAAACAAACATGCGTTTAAAAAGCAGGATTCTCACTTCCAGCTCTTCAGGAATCTCCTTTAGGGGACCTGAGCACGACGGTGTGGGAACCTGACATTCCCACCCTCCTCTATAGAGACCCTCCTCTACGGGAGACCTTCTTCTACAGGGGGACCCTCCCTCTAGGGGGAGCCTTCCTCTATGGGGGGGGACTTCTCCTCTATGGAGGGACATTTCCTCTGCAGGGGGACCCTCCAGCCTCCCACCCTTGCTTCTTGCTTCTCTGGGTTCGAGTGCACCTGCTATGGAGCAGGTTTTAATCCTGACCTCGCCCCCACGCAGCGTCTGTGTCAGCCAGACGGCCTCGAGGAACCAGACACCACATTGTGAACGTCTCAGGACACATACCAGCCGGGAGCGTCTTCGCCCCCGAAGGCCACCTTGCTTCCTCAGGAAACATCTCCTTCGCTACGAGGGGTCTCCTCTCGCTCTTGAGCGAAGGACCCTGCCATCTCTCTAAGGCCCCGTGGCCACCAACAGGAAACCTGCTCTGAATTTCCGTGAAACTTTTCTTCTTTTTCGGTGACAGTTTCTTTTCCAGGAGGGATTCCAAAGCCTACAATGAGATAGTCCGTTACCGTCTTAGATTACCTCACTGAAGCCTGACTGCTGATCACAAACCCGAAAATCGGGCCCCCGGAGACACGCGTCGCTAGCACGGCCTTGTCTAGTGGCCAACGGCTGTCGTTTAGCTGGGAAACGCCATTACTGAGGACATCACATCATTAATAAAAGAAATGTGCACGTTATTTACACGTCTAGTTCGCGGAAACCAACAGCACAAAGCTCAAGAACGGGGCGTCTGAAGGCTCGGCATCCTAGTGTCAGAAACTAACCATGGTCCGCAGAGCTCTGCCTGCGGGCTTTTTAGATGTCTTAATTCTCAATCAAAATCCCACTCACTCAAATGGCCTTTCAGTGGGCAAAGGAACCGTGTGTAACATACATTTTCATAAACCACGCAGCATGCCCAGGGCCTTGGCCGCCCGGCCCCGCCCAGCCCGTTCCCACAGGACACAGCCCTCGCTCATCAGTGGCAGCGAGGGCCTGGCTTCCAGCGGGTCCGTGCAAACCGACACTCACTCTGGGGACGAGGAGGCATAAGGACAGCAAGCCCTGGCAGCTGCAGCCCGTCAACGGGACTGAGTTCCTCGAATTACTGACAGAAAGACACGTATAAGAAACATCACCTTCAGGTGCTCCTGCTCGGACTCTGGGGAAAGGCTCGATAAGCCCTTGAGATCTTTCCAGGACCGTGAGGATGTGCCCACACTGTCTATGACAGGCAAGTGCCCAGAGCACCAGGTGCCCCGCCACACTGTTGTGGGGGGGTCTGTGCCCGATGACGTTCCTGGGCTGTGTCCTCCAGGCCCTGGTGCGTCCTGCACCTGCCCCCGACACACTGCGCCAGCAATGGTCAAGGCAGAGGGGCCATGGGGGCCGCCGAGGGCTAGTCAACACCCAGAAGGCTCCCTCTGGCACACCTGTCCTCCCGTGTCTCACCAACACGAAGGTTGCCTTCCGTCCGTGGACGGATGGGGGTGGAGCTAACTCCGGAGACAGAGTCGCGGGGACAGCGTGCGAGGAAAGTGGTGGTGGCGCGCCGGTAAGAAAGCCTACGCGGCTGCTGGCACAGAAGCAGGGCCAGGACGGCACAGATGAGGGCACCCTGTTCTTGCTGGCTCTGTCCTGACTAGTACCTGCCGAGGGACGGCCAGACATCTCCAGCCATCACACCAGACTGGAGGCTGTGCTGCCTCAGGACTTCAAGCACCTCTTCTTCCCAGAAGCCCGCCGGGACCACACTCTGGCACTCCCATGCAAGCACTAAGCGAGAGTGCTTTACTGCTCTCCTTTTCTGTGCTAACAGGCTCTTTCTCAAGCAGCACGGTCAGAGGTCGGAACGTTCTGCTGAGTCAGCGGACCTGGGTAAGAGCCGACGTGGGTGCTACACCCAAGCCGCCCGTTCTCAAACGAGTGAGCTATGATGTTACAGACCCGACTCTGAAAGTGAGGACATGAAAACAAGGGACGCCCTGCGTCCTCTGCGAAGCTGGAGTTCCCCAGGTGGCAGCTTCGTCCTGTCTTCCCTTCAATCCCAGCCAGTCCAGGCCACGGCACGCATGGCCTCCCTGTTCAGACACAGCACTCTGAGCAAAACCCGGAGCCCACTCTGTACCTCAATCTGTCGCAGGATGTCCGCAACCACGTCAGGGACGGAGGGGTCGGCGTGCAGCTTGGCGGAGCAGAGTGAGAGCTGGCGGATGAGGCAGCCCAGCTCCCGGCAGCGCGCAGGGACCGGGTGCTCCCCGCGGTCCGTAAGCTGCGTCACCAACACCTGTAAGGCCCGGATGGCTCCTCGGTGGGCAGCCGCCAGCCGCGACATGGCCCATGACTGGTGAGGAAGGACAGGGGGGAGCGGGTTGAGGCCTCACAACTTCTCCGTGGCGGTCCCACCCGCACCAGCTCTTGTGGCCTGGCTTCTTTACAGACGACCTCATACCCTGACACTGGTTCACGGTAAGGCGATCACAAAGTTGAGAGATTTTCTCTGACAAAGAACTTTTACCTTTCTATCATTTCTTTTTTTTTTTTTTTTAAGATTTTTATTATTTATTTGACAGACACAGAGAGAGCGAGCATAAGCTGGGGGAGGGGCAGAGGGAGAGGCAGACTCCCTGCTGAGCAGGGAGCCCGATGTGGGACTCGATCCCAGGACCCTGGGACCATGACCCCAGTGGAAGGCAGTAGCTCCCCCAAACAAGTGCCCCAGCACCCCCTACTCTGACACCAGCAGCAACAGAATCTATTTTCAGAGTCTGCGCCCTGGAGGGCCACCCCAAATGCAGGATATGTACGTGGCTTGTGCCCCCCTAGACACGTCTCTGTAAGAGCCGCGCACCCATTACTGTGGAGAAGCCACGCGCACAGTCCCCCCCCCAGACGCTGGAAATGCAACTTATCGACAAGCAGTACTCATGGTGGCAGAACTGCGCCAGCACCTTCTTCGTGTGTCTGGTCTCACGTGGGCTCAATTTATCCAACTCTTCCTGGATCTCCTTCACCTGTTCCGTAAAGGGGGAAAGTGAAGGCCTCAGACCTGTCCGCAGACCTGTCTTGCTCAAATATAACCACTATTTAATTCAAGTCACTTGGAATGAGACAAGGCCCTCCACTCGTGACCCGAAACACAGTCCCCGGCTTCCAGTTCGAGACAGTGAACGAAGCACGGTGTTCCCCTCCCATCCTTGGTCCCAGTGTCACGGGAACATCCCAGGAGGGAGTGAAGGTACGGGCGGCGCTGGGAAGGGGGGAGGCCACGCTGGGGTGCAGGCTGCACTGTGTCCAGAGAGCCCTGACAGGGTCAGGTGCGTGTTCTGGAACGATTGCAGGGGCAGCCGTGTGGACAAGCCTAGGACAATACGGAATAAAGTCTAACTCAGGTAATTTCCTTCAAATGAAAACATTCGGCTTTCAGTTCAAGCAATAAAGCCAACGTGTGACTTAAGTGACAGGAAAGGAGTCAAAGGTGAGTTCGTGAGGAAGGCACCACAGTCAGCACAGACTTGTAGAAGCATCGCAACGTAAGCAACGTGTCTGTTCACGAGCCACGAAACGAGACCCTCGGCACGCCTCCGCCATCGGCAGGAGAGGAGACAGCCACGTGACCCACAGTACTCGGCGTCCGGCCCCGCACGGACAGGAGGCAAGTGTGCAAGTGACGAGGCCCCGTCCCTCTAACCCCGGGAGCCAGCCGGGCCTGGGGGCTTCAGGGTCCCCGAGCCACTGTCCACCAGACTCTGCCCAGAAACAGGTGCTGTACCAGCACCACTTTCCGGAGGACTCACACAGGTTCGCAAGAACCTATGACCCCAAGAAACCAAAAACCACCTTGAAGGATGTCACCCCGTACCTGCCGTACACAGATGCACGTGACGGCAGACGACAGAAGAGGGACCGCGGGGCCACACATTCAGGAAACTGAGTGTCCACAGTGCAGCAGAAGTCACACGGGACACTGTGCTTGTGCCACTGCGACGGGGCCCCCCAGGCCAGCAGCCACTCCCCCGCTCCCCATACCTGCTGCTGCAGGACATACAGCATCCGGGCCGAGCTCACGGCCTGCTCCTGCCTCCTGACGCGGGCGCGCCGCTCCTCATCGGGGTCCAAAGCCACTTGTATCCTGTCTGAAAACAGCGTTTCCCCAAAAGTGGATTACACGCTACATACGGAAATGCACAAAAATGTCCATTATTCCGAGACATCATGAAGTTGAAGAGCTCTAGTGCTATTTAAAAAAAAAAAAAAAATGGGGCCCCCACCACAAATTCTCCACCAGCCAAGAAGGGAGAAAGGAACGGGCCAGAGCGGACTCGGTGGGAAGACGCGAGGACCTCCAGCTGAGCTCCCACCACTCTGGTCCAGGAACCAGACCCCCAGGGGACAGCCTCAGCCACTGCCAAGCGCCGCCCACCACTCTGAAGTTCTTTCTACTGAGCCCAAACCGGTGATGCTTTCTATTTTTTTCAGAAACCCTTTACTGCCCTATTTACTGTTCAGCAAGATTTCTCCAGCACTTTCTTATTCTGAATCCGACAGAGAAATCCTTTCCTAATGCGTTAAGATTGCTCAAACGTCCGAAGCCCTGCGTGTCTGTCAGGGAGACCCTCACATGTGGTTCGCAGAACACGCACTCGGAGAAGCCGTTTCTGGGGGACTCAGCTGCGCAGGCTCCCGTCGCTGAGGCAGTGGTTTTCCAATACATTTATCCCGAAAAGGGTCTGATGCAAAATTCCAGGATACAAGTCAGGAAAAGCCGTGTTTTATTAGTGCAAGTGTATTTTATAAATACAAATATTTAACATTTATTCATTAAGAAGACAAATTATGGGGGTAAAAAAGAAAGAAAAAAAAAAAAAAAGAAGCCAAATGATGAAATAATCTTTTTTGAAAAAAGCAACACACTGAGATCAGGAGTTGTGGGTACAGACACCGGGTCATGGAGCGACAAGCCAGACCTGCGTCTCACGTCAGCCACGCACCGTGGAGAGATGCGGGCACCGCACATGCGCACGAATGTCACGGAGCTCTGACGGGGCTCCGAGCTGCCGCCTTGCAGGCAGTTCTCAGACAGCTGGTCCACGGAGCCACCCCCGGGGAGCACCCCTGGGCACGTCGGGGTCCCCGGAGGGTGGTCCGCAGAGGGGCCGCGGCAAACTGTGCCCAGCCCACGACAGCTAAGCGCAGAAATGTACAGTGTGCACGACGGGTTTACAGCTACTTGCCACTGTGGTGACACTTCCCGCTACAGGTCAGAACGTATGGGTTTGGGACAAACTGAAATTTTAAACTAAAAAATAAGCAAATGGGGGGTGCCTGGGCGGATGGGCTGGTTTCACCTCCGATTCCTGATTCTGGCTACAGTCAAGCTCTTCACAGTCCCGGGACCGAGCCCCGTGCTCAGCCAGGAGTCTGCTTGCCATTCTCTCTCCCTCTGCCCCTTCTCTGCCCTCACATGTGCACACGCGCCCTCTCTAAAATAAAGTCTTGAAAGACAAAATAGATAAACGAGAAATCACCCAAGCCGGTCCTGCCCCAGAGAGTTTGAGGAGCTCTCTGGAAAGGTCCCGGGTCAGGCCACGTCATCAGAGTGGGGGTCCCCGTGGCTCCGTCCCCGGACAGCACAGCTTCCAGCACAGGAGGCCACGGGGTGACCCGGCGGCCCACACCAAGGAACAGCATCAGACACGAGCCGTGACACTCCTGCCACCACCATGACATTGCACGACACACTCACCAGGAAGACAGGGGACAAAGCTCTTTCTCAGCCAGCTGTGCTGTTTCAGACCTTGTGAACTCTGCAGCAACCCCCTCGTCCCCTCAGCCGGCCGCTCGGAAGCGCAGACACAAGTCCAGTCTGCCCCGTGCCGCCATACCCTTGCCTGCGTTCTGCGGTCGTGCTGTTGGGCCACAGCTATCTCGGGAAGGCAGCATAAACTCCCCGTGGCACCTGCATGTGTCTGCAGAAGGTCCCCACAGACCCAGGGGGTCCTAGTCGTGGTCCCCAGGGCTGCTCAGCCCCCCGCTCCTTGCAGCTGGGAAGCTGGGCTCCTCTCTCCGAACCACCAGCCTAACCCAAACCCGCCACCAGGAGATGGGGAAACATGGGGCAGAGCGCACTGAGCAACTGTGGGGAACGGTGTTGAGAACCACGCACCGCCCTTGTGCTTAGAGCTCAGACGTGCCCCCATGCCCTCGGTCCCCGTCCCAGGTCCATCCAAACACTGCCACCGTGCAAACGGCTTTATCGAAGCATGCACACATGATGCTCGTTTCTGGACAAGCTAAAGATAATTCTCCAGAGCAGAACACGGCAGGAGGGTCTGCGTTTGGGAGCCATCGGACCCGAGGTTGACAGCAGGTGCCCGACCGCGAGGCGTCACCAGCCGATGCGGCAGCCTGCAGGACAGGGCGGTGTCAGGCACCTCTGCCTGACGGGGACCAGGGCAAGGCCAACTCCCAGGAGGACAGACTCCGGTCAGACCCTTGGGCCACCTGCCTTCTGGGCCCTGCTCGCCACAGGGAGGGGGTGGACTAACCCAGACGAGCGTGCTGGGCCATCCCGTACCCGCAGAGTCCAGCTGCTCTCACCTTTCTTCGTGACCTCTTCCATCTTGTGGATGCAAGCGCTCAGCTCCCTCTGGAGCCGCTGTACATCCAGCAGCTGCTGGTGGCTGCCGAGCTTGGGGCGGGGCTCCAGGCCCGGGTCATGGGTGGGGGGCGAGTGGGGCACAGCCAGGTGGGCCGGGGCCGGACGAGGTGCGTACAGATACACCTTGGCACCCGTGCAGGACGTTCCCACCGTGGACGGCTGGTGGCCGCAAGGACACATGTCCCGGCTCCCCGGTTCCTTCCTCTGCACGCTGGGCTCGGGGACCTTGTGCGGACGAGAGAGCCGGGGCTCCCCGCCGAGCCGGCACCGCCCGACACGCTCCTCTAGCTGCCTGCGCTTCACGTCCCTCTTGGCCAGGTGCACGGCGTAGCTGAGCCGCTCCTCCGAGATGACGGAGAACGAGGCCGAGCCACTCCCGTGGCCACCGCCATGCCAGCCCGCATCCTCACAGCCGTACGACTCGCGGTACGAGTGCTTCAGCTTCTCGATCCGGATGGCGTGCGGGCAGGAGTAGCGCACGGCCAGGGTGCCTGCGTGCTCGGGCGTGCTCCTGCTGAACTGCAGCTGGTTCTTTAAACAAAACAGACGAGTGCAAGAGCCTGTGAGCAAAGCGCATCCCACACGCTGTGCGTCTGAGGCCCCATTTCCGACTTCCCTGCACGACCCTTAGTGCTAAGACACACTCTCCTATGGGGACCGGGGCAGCCACTCTTGGACACCCCTGACCTCATCACATGCCTGCGGTCCCTGCCCACATCCCCAGGCCACGGTCCCACCCTGCCCCCTCCCAGCAGTACACGGGCTGCTCCTCCAGAAGGCAACCTACAGAGCTTCACACAGTGGCCGTGGGGCCCCCCGCCCCTCGCCCCCCATTACCAAACCCATATGGTCTCAAAAGGTCAGGCTCTGGCAGAGACAACGCAGGTGGCATGAGCTCTGCAGACACGGCCCCCGGACACCCCGCCACACAGGAGCCGCCATCAGACAAGGCCATGCACCTGCTGGCTCCACCATGACCTTGACCCCGCACCTGAGGGCATCCCGCACCCCAAGGTCCACATACCCCTTCCTATGCAGACCTCAGGCTCTGTCCTTTTAACTATAATAGGTATAAGTTTTGTTTGGTTTTTCCCTTAAGAAGCAGAGGCGTGTTTCCAAAGGCTAACATTGTCATTTTTCATGGCGGCTTTTTCCAAAATCCCACAAATGGCCCTCAACCTTCTTAAGCACTTAGATAGTTCCAGGTTTCCACTAACAGAAATAGGAGTTAAAATATCTCCACGCATTCAGCTGTTTTCTCATTTTTTTTAAGTTTTGTTTTGTTTTAATTACTTGACAGACAAAGATCACAAGCAGGCAGAGAGGCAGACAGAGAGAGACTGGAGGAAGCGGGGCTGGATCCCAGGACCCTGAGATCATGACCTGAGTCGAAGGTAGAGGCTTAACCCACTGAGCCCCCCAGGCCCCCCTTTTTTTCTCATTTTAAAGAATTTCTTTAGGATGGAGTACCCGTTCCGGGATTACAAGTCAAGGACAAGGAGCAAGTTTATGACTGCGGGCCCCATGGCTGGTCAGCAGCCCAAGTCCCTGCCTCCACTGCGAGCCCTTTGCCCCGTGGACAGCCTCCTGAGCCTTGTAATAAAGGGTGTTTTTGTGTCACATGACGAAGGGGCCATTTAAAATGAACCCGCTGTGGTCAGACTTCAGGAAAGTATTTGGACACAACTTTAAGGCCTCCCTGGAGATTCTGAGAAAAGAAACAAAGGGTCATCGTCTAAAGGGCGCGGACTGACGGACATCCCGTGAGAGGTACAGCCTTGTCTGGACAACGTCTAACCTGCAGAAGTAAAAATAACCAGAATGCCTTGGGGGGTGGGGAAGAGCCCAAGCTCACGTGTGCATGGGTGTGTGTGTATGTGTGAGCACGTGTCCCATGGGTGCGTGTGTATGTGACTGCACGCTTGCACATGTATGTGTTAGCGCACGTCTTCACGTGGGTGCATTGTATGTATAAGTGCATGTGTGCACTGGGGTGCGTATGTGTGTGTGTGCATAGGTGCGTATGTGTGAACACACG